TTTGCATGATAATGAAGTTAGGTTTGCAGACTGTATTCGGATTTAATTGACATTTCCTTACGTATCTCCTAAGTGTCGTTTATTTATTCACCTCTCTTTAGATACACAATAAACTGTATCACCATTAAGAACTGCATTAATAGTCGCTCGCATTCCATTTTCATAAACTTTACCTCTAGGTGATCTAATCAGTTTTTACACCATGTTTTTACACCAACTGTAAAAAAATGAATATGTTTATATAATTTTACTATATTCTTAATTTTTGGATGAATGTTTATAAAGGTCTTTATTTATTTTTACAAAAATTCTTTTTTAGTCATACTAGATACTTCTATAGCTTACCAAAAGCAACCAGACAAGAAGTAATTAGTTTAGTTACAAAATGGTATAAGCAAAACTACTCAACTCAAAAATTATTAAAAATGTGAGGTTCCTTGTAAAAGTACAAAAATTACTTTTTGTCGTCAAAATTAAACTTTTAGAAATAAATTTAATAGTGGTCTATTCTCTAACCAAAACACAATTAATTTTGAAGATACAATATTTAAAACATGCTTCAATATTTAAAACATGCTGGTTATCAGCCTTTTTTAATGTATGTAAGTATGGAGATAACGCTATAGGATCAAAGGTGCAAGTTTTCACCTACCCAACAGAAGTATCATAAAGCTCAAAATAATCTAACTCCGTTAATAACTCTAAAACAATTTGTCGGACTTCTTTAACAATAAATGTAAAATTTATTCGTTTTTCTATAATACCAGATAAAAACTATACAAACTTCAATAAAAAAAGAAATAGTATAAGTTATAAAAAATTATCTAAATTATCTAAGCAATGTAACTTTATTACCAAATAAAGTACCAAATATAATTATTCCTAACTAAAAAATAAATTTTTTTAACTATTAGTATAAAAACAGTTACAAAAAGTAAAAAAATGTGGAAAAATTACCTCTTAATACCAAATGTAGAAAGTAAAAAATTTTGACTATTATAATATTATATTGCGTAATCTAACATATATATATTGCGTAATTTAACTAAGTTTACCTATTAGTATAAAAACCAGTGCCGGATCAAGGGGATGGCTAGGGGGCTATAGTCCCGGGCCCTGCAAATTTAGGGCACCCAAAAATTTTAGAAGACCTTTTTTTTTTTACTCAATTTTAGGCTCAGACCCATAAAAAGGCCTCCAAAAATAAAAATAGCCCCGGGCCCAAAAGAAGTCTTAATCCACCACTGATAAAAACAGTTAAAAAAATTTAAAAAAAAATTGAAAGCTTACTTTGAAACACCAAATGTAGAAAATGAAAAAATTTGATTACAATTATATTAAATTTTAACTATATATTTTATTTGGAAATGAATTATATTATTAAAATAAAAACGGTGTAAATACTTAAATAAGCACCAAACTTGGACTTGGGCAATTTCGTTGATGACAAAAATGATTTATACTAATGAAAGGGATTAAAATTTGACTTTTTCCTTTTATAGAAGTTATCTTTTCTGTACACGATTCTTCGTGTGCAACGCGGATTAAGCTGTTGCTTGGATCTTCAATAACTAAAAACGTTAACGAAGAACGTTTAAATGAAGATTGTTTTCGATTATATCTTGTGCTATATCTAGAAAATATCCTAACTTCATTGGTTGAGTATAATTCACCAATCTCAAATATGCAGTAATATTTCTCGTTAAGATAAGGCAGGTTTGGAGTGTTGTTATAGTAACCTAACTTTACTTTGACCTTTAAACAAGCAAGTATAATCCTTACTTTCCATGCTCGGGCAATAATTTTGGTGCTTAAACAGTAGTTTGATACTTTTTGAGAATCTTCAAGCAACATTTTATTTTTGTTTTTTTGTATTGTTATTGACTGTTCAGACTTACTTTCAGTACTAAACTTTAAGTCATGTTTTTCAAAAACACAACATTCAAATGGCGAATTGTTGATAAGACTGTTGTTAACTTTTACTGTTATCTTGTATTTGCCAGATTCATTTAATTCATAAAACACTTCATAAATCCCATCACAGTTATTTTTCAAGATACTTTTGAAATTTTGCTCTCTAGCATTTTGAATTGTAACGCAGACTTTATCTTGTTCAACCCAGCTCAAATCTCCATCTATATTACAAGTCTTTAAATAAAAAAATGTTGGTTCGTTACATATTGCATACTTCAAGCCAACTCCTAAAGCCTCAGTATTTTTGCTATAAGCTTTCTTTTCGTCAATTATTCCACATTTCTCAACAGCATTGTATATTTCTCCAGTGTCATAGAATCTCAAGCAATCACCATTAATATCACTATTTGTTTGCCGGCAATTTGTTTCAATCATTTTTTTGTTCTTTAATTCTTGAAGCATGTCTAATAACTTGATTTTACGTTTCTCGACTGCTTGAGCAACTTGATCAAAGAACAAAATAATATCGTTCTCCACTTTTTGTGTGTTTTCATTAAGACTGGAATCATTTCTTGGACTTTGAGTTCTAAAAAATAAAGGTTTTAACTTAAAAACTTATGAAGTTGTTCTATAATTAAAAAATAGCAATTAATAATGGTTTTGAACAACTTTTTGTAATCAGAGCTTCTATATTTAGCCTTGAATTATATGACACGTGTGAGAAATGTTATACACATCACAAAAAACCATTTTGATTTTTTTTTTCAGTCCCAGACATTTTCTAATAGGGAACAAAAACCCTGCCTAATATCGGTGTTCTTGAAACCCGGGATTTTAGACCTCTGTTGATAATGAATTCTTGTGAACGGGTTCTGGAAACCCTATTGAAAAACGGGTTTTAGAAAGCTGAGGGATTCTAGAACCCCTTAAACTTGAGTTCTGAAAAAGGATACTGAAACCTTTTGTGTAAAAAAGGTTGGGAAAGCCATGGGTTCCAGAACACCTCTTAATTGAGGTTCCAAACCCGGGTTAATTAAGTAATTTTTGTATTAAAGTTTCTTTACTAACAATTTTAAGTAACTAATAAAAGTTAAAGTACTAAAAAGTAGTAAACAGAAACAAGTGACAATAATTTGCTACATATTTATTTAATGTAATTACGTTTTCGACGTAAACAAAAATTAGGGATTATATAAAATAAAAGTTAATGAAAATATTAGGTGCATTTATGTTTTTGAAATGTTATATTTTTTCCTTTTTATTATTTTTTCTTATCTACAATTTTGAAACTATCTGAAACATTAAAAAGATCTTTAAAAGAGAAAAAACAATTCCAAAACATACTTGATTGGTACACGACATAATTAACGCAGTTAATTTTTATAACCTTTACAAATAAACAATTTTGTAATACAAACAGATATCTTGTATTACAGAGGTGTAGGGGAAAGATGCCTATATGGCATAGCGCCTATGATGACATACCAGTCATATTTTCATAACTATTGGTTAAGGCGAAAAATTGATTAAACCTACATGTCTATACTGACTTTACATTAGTTTTAGTAAAAATAAGTCACAATCAATTTTATGATGACAATGATCATTTTTATGGTTTTAATGAAAGATTCCACAGTTATTACAAAATGGAAAGCATCCATGTTATCCTGTTAGATTCATTAGTTTTGGCCTTTTCAAAGTTTGCACGTTTTTTTTTTGGTAGTTAGAGTCTTGCATAAAAATGCTTTTAGATAGATAAACGAGTTCGTTGAAAAATGATGAAACATGATGTAAGTGAGCACGCGATTTAAGCTAAAAATGAAATGACGTAATTTTCCGTTTTTTATACAGAAAATTAGGATGATTACGCGTAATTTCTAGCATTTCTGAGGGAAGACTCTAAGGTCAAATGAAATTATCAAGTTACCCTTGATGCTAACAAGTCCTATCCACCCCTATCTTATAGAATTAGTAGTTGCCTATGATAGCATATTTGAGCTTTTTTTTTTAAATAAAAATAACTAATAAAAAAAAAAAAAACTGATGAAAACTCCTAAGGTTATTATTGTTCTACTTGTAACATAGAATGAATCGATATCAAAGTTTTATTCTTGATCTTCAGGATACTGAATAATGAAGTATCCTGAAGATCAAGAATAAAACTTTGATATCGATTCATAATCGATTCATATCGATTCATAATCGATTCATATCGATTCGATAGACATAAAAAAAAAAAATGTTCGTATTACCATAGATACCATAGCAGATAAAGTATTTAAACTTCGGCCGTAGTAATAATTCGAAATCAAACAAATTCTATCTATTTTGCTTATTTCAATGTAATTTGTGCAATGCAATTAAATGCCTACATATAGGCAGAAGTAACTACAACGTTATTTTTTTTGATATTTTTGGTTTCAGTATTTATAACAGTCTAATTTGAACAATTTTTTCAAAAACGTTTTACACCGAACAATTTTTTCAAAATTAAAGCGCTGGTTTCTTAAAATCCCAATCATTTTTATGATGACATCACTTTTATGGTTTTAATGAAAGATTAAATCCACAGTTATTACCAAATGGAAAACATCCATGTTGTCCTGTTAGATTCATTAGTTTCGGCCTTTTTAAAGTTTGCACGTTTTTTTTGGTGGTTAGAGTCTTGCATAAAAATGCTTTTAGATAGATAAACGAGTTCGTTGAAAAATGATGAAATATGATATAAGTGAGCAGGCGAGTTAAGCTAAAAATGAAATGACGCAATTTTCTGTTTTTATACAAAAAATGAGTAATAGAAACTTTCGTATAGTAAGAATAACTTTAGTAATTTTTTACTATTTAATTTTTTGTAAAGTTCGATTAAGTACAAAATATGTTACAGTCGGAGTGTCGCAAAGTTCTTGAACCGTAGTTATTCACAATTTTCTTTAATGATATTATCAACTGCATCAATATAAACATGATGCAGTCGGTAATACAACGTAAACTAAAATATATGTTCCCTAAGCTTTTGTTATGCATTCCAAACTTGGTCTCATAAAGCTTGGTCTTATAAAGTTAACGGTTTTATATTGAATAAAATGTATTCATAAGATAAAAAATAAAACAAGAAAAAATAATTTAAATGCTTAAGAAAAAGTTTAAATAATTATTATATAGCTTTTGCATAAGCTTTATTTTAAATTGATGTAATAAAGAAGATTTTAAAATCATTATATAATATAATGGAGAATTTAAAACAAATTATACTTAATGGTTGAATAATAAGTTTTTTCTGTTTTCAAAAGGTATGAGTTATTATAAAATTGGCAAATTACTATCGCTGGTAAGCATTTTTTCACACCCGGTAAAGAAATTACAAGGTGCTAAAATAAAAATGATTTAAAAGAAATGTCCCATCACATGCTAATACCCCATAAAAAAATGTTCAATAGAAATTTTATAAACTTTTGAAACATATGGCCCATAGAATTTCTGTAAAAAGTCTATTATTTTCTATAGAATATGCTATAAAACTTTTTTTTCTATAGAAAAAAAAACTAGAAAAATAAGTTCTATAAGAATTTCTGTAGAAATTAAGAGAGATTCTATAGAATTTCATTGTTTATAGAAATTCTATAGAACTTTTTTTTCCTGGGACTACGAGATATTTATTTCTAATTAATTATCGAATAAACTAAATATACTAATCGAACTTCAGTGACAATCAGGAGTTTTAAGTACTAATGAGAAATAAAACTAAATAAAAAAAAACATGTATTGAATTGCACAAAGCACGTCGTAACAATAAATAGAGAGAAAAAAAAAACACTTAAATGAAGTAAATAACAAAAATATTATTTGTTGTTTCTTAATTTTCTTCTTCTGCTGCCTATTGGTAATATCCAAGACGACCAATCTATCTTGTTTACAGAGGACCGTAGAAGAGCATTTAACAAAAGAGTTCAAGCTGTCTCCTTTATATATGTTGATCATACGGTTAACATATGCCATAAACCTCGGACTTCTTAATTCGAAAGCTTTAACTTATCAGTATATATTTTATTTAAAAACTTATTAGAGGAGAAGAAGACAACTTTGAATAGGATAGTTTTGAAAAAAAAGCATTTTTGAGGTGTTTTTGTATTTAAAATCTTAAATATTTTGTAAAGGTAACATGTGCCCTCGCAGCTGTCATTTGTTTTTCCTAATATTTAACATAGATTAAAATAAAGTAAAATGAAATAGACAATCTATACGATTAGTTTTGTTTTGGAAGGTTGAATAAATACGAACTGGCATAAATGCGAAGCAGCTCCAAAAACTGATATAAGCGCAAATCGGTGTAAGTACAAACTAGCATAAACACACCTAAAGAATTCGCAAACATTGCCATAAGTGCAAACTGTCATAAGTGCGAATCAGTTACAAAAACGGTCATAAGTGCTAAACGACAAAAGTACGCATAAGCACTTATGCAAATTTTTGTAACTGTTTTGCACTTATGCTAGTTCGCAGTTATCCCAATTCGCATTTAGCCAATTTGTGTAAAATTTTTTAGCGCACTTATGCCAGTTTTTGCAAATTTTTTTGGCTCACTTATGTCAGTTCGCACTTAAGCCAGTTTTTGAAACTGCTTTTTCACATGAAAGTTTGCATTAATACAAGTTTTCACTTATGCTAGTTTACACTTATGCCAGTTCGCACTTATGAAATTCGCTCCTAATAATTTGCCCCGATATGATTGATGAGCGAAGACCAAAAAATTATTTTCAACATCTTAACCAAATCATACTAATTGCATCCAAATTTGAAGACCATTTCCAAAAGTTTCAAATTTATTGTAAAAACATGAATGGTACACAGCGGTTCTTGACGATAAAACCTTCTGGTCTTCTGAGAATTTCCCGGGTTTTTTGAGCCATAACACTGTTATTTATGAAAATTTGTTATAATTAAATTTTGTACGTTAAATTTCTTTTTTGCTTGCATATATATAATTTGTTTATTTTTGAATGTATAAAAATCTTTATACTGCAAACTTTAAATTTTAAGAACAAAAAAAGTGTAAAAAAAAAAGATTTAGCGTTTAATTATTTTTATTTTTTAACACAGTTTATTTGGAAAACTTCAGACTTTGTTGCTTATAAAAGATTCTTATAAATATTATTTAAGTTTTTATTATTATTTTTTTTTATCAAGTTATAATTAAATTTTTTTTAACAATTTTTTAATTTTGTTCAGGCGCGTTTCAATGAATAAAAAAAGAGGGAGGGGAGGGGACTAATCCGTAAAAACTGCCAACTGCTATCTAAAAAAGTAAGGTTCTCAAAACTAAAAATCTGCAAACTGAAATGTGTAAAATCCAGCTAACCAATTATACTCATGAAAAAGTTGACTATAATTTGAAAATTGTCTTCTTTGGAGGGATGTCACCCTTCCCCCTCCACCTCCTCGTAAAATCACCCCTGAAAATCATATCTGTGGATGCTAATACATTACATAAGCCTAGTTTGATGAACTTTTTATAGTTAATAAAACATGACTGCACTAGGAAAAATATTATCCAGTTGTAACAAATAGAAGTTTAAACTTAATGAAATT